GAGTTCACACCCAGCCTCAACAACTTAACAAGGCCCTAAGCAACTCTATTAAAATATAAAAAGGGCTGGGGATGTGGTTAAGCACCCTTGGGTTCAATCCCTGGTACCAAAGAAAAGAAAAGCAACTGAGGTAAGATATTGAGATGGCTCAAAACATGGACTGTGAAGTCACACAAGCTTGAGTGAAAGTGTCACTGCCACTTAATAACTGAGGGCCTTGCACCTGTTTCTTTTCCATAAATTGAGAGGAGTAGTTCCTGCCTTGTAAGGTGGTTGTAAGTTTAAATGAAATTAAGCCTACATAAGACAGCACAATACCTGGAAATCAGTAAATGAGACCTGCAAGTACCCAACTACTCCCAAAGAGGGGACACCTCGAGAGAATGTGGTTAATTTGGGTGTTATTGAGAGACACCCTAAGAAAATCAGGCCATCTCCCTACTGACTTCAGGGCTCCAGCTTCCAAGGTTCTGATTTTTTGTTATTCTCTTTCTTTCCCTGGTGCCCTGAGGAGGAAGTCTGGGATGAGGGCCTGTTCCTCATGGACTTCCTTGCTCTGTCTTGCAGAGGGCCGTGGGGTGAAGATCGCCCGCGCCCTGGTGGGCACCTTCATGTCAGCACTGGAGATGCCTGGCATTTCCCTCACCCTCCTGCTGGTGGATGAGCCCCTCCTGAAACTGATAGGTGAGAGCTGAACTCTGGGCTGATTCAAGCCAGGGCTTCTTGTCACCGGAAGGAGCCAGCGGGACTTGCAGAGGCCCGTTAGGCTGACTGTGGCAGAGCTCTGGACCTGTGAAGGCACCCCTGGCTTCTCCAGCCTCTCCTCTCGCACTTGACTCTGGAAGAAGTGTACTAGGACTCGCCCCAGATCCGCCTGAGTTTTCCCCAGGGACCCTCTGTGCACCCCCCACAGTAGCCTCTCAGCACGTCCTTGTCTTCCAGGCTGCTGAGGGAGCCAGGCCCCAGGTTTGGGTGGGAGCCCAGACTCTGCTTGATCTCTCGCTGGCCAGTTATGCCTGAGTTGTCCTGCTGTCCCTAGATGCTGAAACCACTGCTGCAGCCTGGCCTAATGTGGCCAAGATGTCTGTGACTGAGCGGAAGCGGAGCCGGGCAGCCCCCATGGAGCCCAAGGAGACCCATGATTCCGCCACTGCAGGAGGTACCAGACCCTGCTGCTGGGGAAGGAGCAGGCATCATTGGTGGCACAGGGCTTTGACTTGGGCCCTGGAGGGTGCAGGAGTGTGCTGTGAGCTGTGCAGGAGTCCTGGCACCCATCCCTCCCACATATGACAGGATTGGTCCTGAGAAGGGCCAGGTGGTCCTCTGCCCCACTGTCCTCCTTTTCCAGGTGTAGCCTCTAAGCAGATGGTACTTGTGCTGGAGCAGGTGTGCACCACCCTCCTGGGCCTGGAGGAACACCTGAATGCCCTGGATCGGGCTGCTGGTGATGGGGACTGTGGCACCACCCACAGCCGTGCTGCTCAAGGTTGGTGCCAGGGCCCTCTGGGGTCACAACAGGATGGTATGGCACACTGGTTCTTAGATTTGGGCATTTTATGAAACAGAGTAGCTTCCAAAATATTTGGAGAGTTGTTGGGTTGCCACTTTTTCCTTTGCCAAATAAGGTCACTTGTGGAACCCCAGCACCCCTCTCATCTATTTTCCTCAAGAAAAGGTACTTTGGCCTGGGGGTATAGCTCAGTGGTAGAGCACTTGCCTAGTGGGAAGGAAGGAAGGAAGGAAGGAAGGAAGGAAGGAAGGAAGGAAGGAAGGAAGGAAGGGAGAGAGGGAGGGAGGGAGAGAGGGAGGGAGGAACTACCAATGTGGGAGGTTGTTGTCTCACAAGAAAATGGAATCCTTACACTGAACAAAAACAGATTCAAGCCAGACTCTTCTCAGCTTGCCTACACCAGTGAAATCTTTTAATGGTCCAGCACCACTCATTCAAGAAAAATGTATTCAGTGCTTCCTGTGGGCCATGCTCATGTGTCTGTGATTAAAAGAGTGAATGAAGGGGCTGGGATTGTGGCTCAGCGGTAGAGCGCTTGCCTAGCATGTGCGGGGCCCTGGGTTCGATCCTCAGCACCAGATAAAAATAAATAAATGAAATAAAGGTATTGTGTCCAACTACAACTAAAAAATAAATATTAAAAAAAAGAGTGAATGAAGCACACAGAAGTCACCACTCTTGCATACTCTTGCGTATGGTGGTGCATACCTGCAGTCCCAGAGACTCAGGAAGCTGAGGTCAAAGGATCGAAAGTTTGAGGCCAGCTTCAGCAACTTAGCAAGGCCCTAAGCCACTTAGCAAGACCCTGTCTCAAAATAAAAAATAAAAAAGGGCAGGGATATCAGTGGTAAAGCACTCCTGGTTCAATCCCTAGTACCAAAAACAAAAGAAAAGAAAAAGAAGGTGATTACTGGATGACTCTCAGTAAATAAGACCAATCAATAAAACATGTAGGCTGTCAGCACGACAGGCCAGGGAGAGAGCGAATCGGGGCACGCTGAATCCCTCATCAGCACTTTCTTTCTGCAGCCATCCAGGGGTGGCTGAAGGAGGGCCCACCTCCTGCCAGTCCTGCACAGGTGCTCTCCAAATTGTCCGTCCTGTTGCTGGAAAAGATGGGAGGCTCCTCTGGGGCGGTGAGTGTCGGCGACCTCAGGAGCAGAGGGCTGACGGGCAGGATGCCAGTTTGGCCAGGCCCTAGGCCAGCTCCACAGGCTTAGCCTTTGCATTCTCCCCAGCTCTATGGCCTGTTTCTGACTGCGGCTGCCCAGCCTCTCAAGGCCAACACTGACCTCCCAGCCTGGTCTCGTGCCATGGACGCCGGCCTGGAGGCCATGCAGAAGTGAGCCAGAGCCCTGTCCCTTAGAGCCCAGGGTGTTCTGGGGGAGGTAGTTGATGGATTTCACCTGCTCCTATCCCCAGACCTTGTCCCCACTCCAAAGTGACTGCCTACAGCAGACCTTGTTCATTCTCTTTTCCTGCCAGGTATGGGAAGGCGGCGCCAGGGGACAGGACTATGGTGTGTACTGGGTAGTGCCCCCTACTCTCCTTCCCGCCTTTGAGCCTACAAGCCCTGTAGGCCATCCTCAGTGGGAAAGCCCCTCTCAGCCCCTCTCTCCTCACCTTCTCCAGCTGGACTCTCTGTGGGCAGCAGGACAGGAGCTCCAAGCCTGGAAGAAGCCAGGGGCTGATCTCTTACAAGTCCTGACCAAAGCTGTCAAGGTGAGTTAGGCCAGGCTGTCCACCCAGGGAGACAGGCATGGGTCTCCATGCGACCTCAAGCAAGTTAGTCACCTTCCTGTGCCTCTGTTTCCTCCTTTGTAAAATGGGGATGAGTCTCTGTCTCAGAAGGCGATTTGTGAGACTAATGAGATCTTGAGCCCACACCCCACCTGGGACACAGCAGGGCTGCAGTAAATGGTGTGCCTTTCCCTCTCTATTAGAAGGAAGTGAAAGGTGACCTCTCCACTCAGTGATAGGGCAGAGGGCGCTGGGTCAGGCTGCAGGGCAGAGGCCTGGTAGCCTGTCCTCAAGCCCACTCCTATGCCCCCTCAGAGTGCTGAAGCTGCAGCCGAGGCCACCAAGAACATGGAAGCTGGAGCTGGAAGAGCCAGTTATATCAGCTCTGCGCGGCTGGATCAGCCAGACCCAGGAGCGGTGGCAGCTGCTGCCATCCTCCGTGCCATCGTGGAGGTCTTGCAGAACCAGGGTGTGTGACGGCCTCCCTCCGCCTCCGCCCCTGTCTCATTGCTGTGCTGCAGTGCTCGAGGTCACTTCTTTTTGCCTTCAGTGGTCACCTTCCCCCTTTCTGACCGCAGGGCCTGTCCTCTACCAGGTCTCTAAAAACTGCTCCACCGCAGACAGCTCCTGAGCTGGAGTGGGCCCCAGCCCTCCAGCATTGCTCTTTCCCGCCTCAGGGAGGGTGGAGCCCCGGGCTCTCCACACTCAGCCGAGCTTCAGTGATAAAGCATCCCCTGAGCCACAGTATGGCCTTTGGTTTTAAGATTCCGAACCGCTCCCTGTAAAAGGCCTCTGCACCTGAAACCAAGTCAGTGTGGAAAAGAAAGCTAATAAACCATGGTGAAGCCATAAAGCCAACGCCTTCTCCCAGGGTTGTCTGTCCCAGTTGCTGTGATCATGACCCCCTCTTCCCAGACCCTGCGTCGCTACCTGTGCCCAAGACAGGCTCTGCTCTGCCGGGCTGGTTCTGTTCCCATCCTCCTGCCCACACACACACACAGCACACTGACATGCATAAGACTGGTATAAAGGCTTCTTCTTTTTTTTTTTTTAACCAGATTAACAGTTTAGTGAGTCTTTAGGGATTGGATGGGCATTTGGGACATCAGAAGAAAAAGCTAAAGCTCAGCTATAGATCAGAAGTTGTAGCCATGCCAGCCCCTGGTTCTTTCTAGAACAATCATTGATGGTCCCTGGACCCCAGTTGGCAGGAGGGACTGCTGAGTGGTGCTGATAAGGGCTACCACACACACACACACAGCCACATCTGTATGTTCTCAGCACAGAGTGGCTGAAAGCACTTGGCCATGGACTCCAATATCCATGGTTTGAAATCTGATTCTGCTTTCAACCAGCTGCATGAACTCAGGTCTATGCCTCTGTGATCTGTAAAGTCAGAAGAGAGCACCCATCTTACAGTGATTGGAAAGGATTCAAGCGAACCAACAAGGTGATTCAAGTGTAGACTGAGCACTCGCGCTCTGAGAGTTAGTGTTATCACTAGTGTCAGCCACCTGCCCTCCCGTCCATTCCACTACCATGTGGCATCTACAGCTGATCACATTAGGAAAAGGGCCCCTTTACCCCTAGCACCTATTTCACCCAAACTTGACTCCTGGTTCTTGAGCTTCTCTGCCCAGCCATGTCACAGGTACCTGATCATAGATTGGTGTCAGCATGTACAGGTATGTGCCCAGCAGGCAGGAAGAAGGCTGGCAGCAGACTGTGGATCCCAATTCTGCCATTTCCTGACTGGTGACCTCAGGCCAATCATTTGTCCTTTTTGAGTCTTGTTTTCTAGATTATAAAACAGGAAACATTTCCTTCCTCATAAGATGAGCCAGTGCCCAAAAGCCACTATTTAGGACATCCACACATACATGAATCACATGCAATTCCAGGAAGACACACAATTATGTGGATTTTTAGTGCCTTGTGGCTGGCCTGTCCCTAGGTCTATCTGTGAGGGTCAGACATGTCCTGAGGTTTTGTTCTAATCTTTATTTTATTTATTTATTTATTTATTTATATGTGGTGCTAAGAATTGAACCCAGTGCCTCACACGTGCCAGGTAAGTGCTCTACCAGTGAGCCCCAGCCCCAGCCCCTGGGGTTGTTACAAGTTGCCCCAGTGCTCATTAACAGCAGTGTCATTTCAGCAGAGAAAGCTTTTGATATGTTTTGTCTTCTCCAAATTCACATGTGGAAATCCTCACCCCCAGGGTGATGGGGTCACCAGGTGGGGACTTAGGAAGGTAATCGGGTCGTGAGGGTAGGGCCCTCATCGGTGGGCGTAGTGTCTTCATTTACCAGAGGCCCTGAGAGCTCCTTCCACTCCTTCTACCTGTGGTTCCAGGGAGAAGAGTTCTGTGATGAAGGGGCCTCACTAGACACCACCGCTCTCATGCCTCCATCCTGGACTTCCAGCCTAACACATGTTGTTTTTTGTTTTGGTACTGGGGATTGAATTTAGGGGAGCTGAACCACTGAGGCAAATCCTCAGCCCTTTTTTATATTTAGAAACAGAGTTTTGCTGAGTTGCTTGGGGCCTCGCTAAGATGCTAAGGCTAGCTCTGAACTTGCAACCCTCCTGCCTCAGCCTCCCAAGCCACTGGGATTACAGGCATGTGCCACCAAACCCAGCCTAATAACGTTTTCTGAAGCCATTCAATCCATGGTATTTCTTAAAGCAACCTGAACAGACGATGATGACCTTTGATTCTTAAAAACATTTAATGGAAATCAAGCTTCAATAAACAAGTAAAATGCCCACTCATATGGAGACAGGGAACTGCTCATGACCCAGGAGCCTGGCAGTCATCCCAGCAGCACTGAAGTTTTCATCCAACCAGGAAGTCCAGACACAAGCCTTCTGCCAACATCTGACAATGGAGACTGGGGTAAACAACCTGGTGGCTACCTGCCAGGGAGCACAGGGCTGCAAACCCCAAGCCTCATCCTTATCTACTAAGCACAGAAGTCTGGAGCCTGGGACCTGCAGGGCTTATTTGGAGAAGGCAAGAAGAGCCACATGCCAGCACCTCTCCACCCACTTTCTCCTCAGAAAAGCAAAGCTTGGGCTGCAGCATGCCACAGGAGGCTAGGTCTACCTGGGCAAGCTCCACTGTGGAGCAGGAGCACCTGGTATTTAGCAAGAAACTCCTCCGAAGGTGGCGATGGCTCTGCTGGGCACAGTGCTGTGCCATGCTGGCCTGCTTCATGGTGGGCTGGAGGGAAGGATCAGCTGGGCTGGGGCCCTGCCAGGAGAACAGGCTGGGCCTGCCAGCAAGGGAGGAAAAGGGGGCCAGGAAACCTCTGCTACTCATCACTCTTAGGATTCTGGGGGACAGGTAGTCTGTTCTTGGGACAGCAGGTTACTAGGACTCATGGGGCTGCCTGGTGGTGACAGGCATGTAAGTCACAGGAAAAGGGCGGGATCCAGGCCCCAGCTGGAGCAGCAGCTAGAAGAGGTGGAGCCATAGGGTCAAAATACCACACAGACTATCTCAGAGCACCAACACCCCCCTCCCTCAGGCTTCTCCACAGATGCTGCTCCATCCTCTCCTTCTTCGGTCACCCTCCACCAGATGCACACCCGGCCAGGGCTGGATGGGTGACAGCAGATAAAGCCGGCTCTCTGGTGGGTGGCCTGACTGAAATGCATGCCTTCAACAGGAAAGCCGACCTTCCTCAAGGCCCCCGTTATGGGCTGCAGTTGAGTCCCAGTTTTTCCAAACTGTTGGGATTTTCTGCCACATCCCTAACAGTTTAAAGGGGAAACCAGCTGGACTTCTGCAGACACAGCAAGAGTGGCTGGGGTAAGGAGGGCTTGTGCAAACGCAGGCCCTGAAGTCAACGCCGAGAAGCCAAAGCCACCAAGAAAAGCAAATGGGCAGTAAGTGGCTGGAGACAGCAGGCCTGACACCAAGGCAAAGAGAAGTTTGAACCCAGGTCCCAAAGAAAGTCTGTTGCTGAGACCAGCCGGGAGCTCAGGTGGAGCAGAGCTTCTGAAGCGAGGACAGATCAACTGCTGACTGTTCCTGGGACACCCCAGCTCACTCCCCATCATGCAACAAGGGCTGGAAAGAAGGCAGAGCACAGGAGTTAAGACTGCCCCTGACCTGCAGGAGTCACAGCAGGCCTGAGCTGCTCATAGAGACCCCCAACTTGCAGGGTGACCCTGCCCAAGCCACCAGATCTCTTAGGAAAGCCCCGAAGTCCTCGAGTCTGGTCCACACCCTAACACCCTCCAACCATCAGAAGCCCAAGAACAGACAAGACTTGCTACAAGCACCCAACTTGTCACCAAGCACCAGTCCCACTAACCTAGCCCCAAAACTGTCACAGAAGTTACTACATACCCTCATCATACTCAGGAACTTCCTTAGGGAAGGTAAAGCCATGCATACCTCATCTCTCAGTGCTACAGGAATTGGGGTGGAGGGAGGAATTCTGAGAGGTGCTGAGCCTGGACAGCCACACTACTGGGATATGCTGCTCTGAAACCACTGTCCCTGTCAACCACCCTAATTCCACCTTCAAGCCACATGGCTTCTCACCAGACTAGTGGACCCATCTTCACAGCAAGGCCCACGTCCTTCCTGGTTGGTCCTTCTCTACATCTGGCCCTATTCGCACCTCACCCTGGAATGGAGGACAAGCAGCCATACCTGTCTGTCAGTCAGGATCCCTGGTTCTGGGCGTTTCCAGGATGAAGCCAGAAGGACGTAGAGAACCAGTAGCCCAAAGGCCACCACCAGCAGCCCAGTGCAATTGGCAAAGACAGCCTCGCTGGGCAGGCTGGCATATGGCTTGGTGGCATTTTTCCTAAAGATGACAAGACAATGTGGGTCCTTGAGAGACTTTTCCACCTGGTTTTGCCCAGGGGGAGACTTGATGCTACTAAAAGAGGAAACAAAAGCTTCTCGGGACCACTTGTGACCTGGAATTTTAACATACTTTTTAAGTCCCTGCTATAATAACAAAACTCTATATAATACTTTTGACTTACCAGGAAATTGAAGCTCAAAGGGATGAAATTAACTCACCCAGAGTTACATAACCAGTAAATAAGACAGCCAGGATCTAAACCCAGGGCTGACCTCAACTTTATTTATTTATTTACTTACTTATTTATTTTCTGCAGTCCTGGGAATTGAACCTAGGGCCCTGTGCTTATAGGCAGGTGCTCTACCACTGAGCTACCTCTCAGCCTCTTATTTGCTTTTCACTATGCCCCCCACCTCAAAAGAGTGGGCAGCAGTGGTTACGCATGCCAGCTCTGGAGTCAGACTGCTAACCCTGAATCCCAGTTCTGCCACTTATTGGCTGTGCATTCTTAGTAAGTTACTTAGTTTCTTTGTGCCTCAGTGCTCTCATTGGTGGCATGACATCATCACCAATGTCATAGGGCAGTTGAGAGGATTAGATGTAAAGCAATTAGAACAGTTTCTGACACAGAATAGGTACTAAATCAACCTGATCGTAAATATTTGTTGACCAATTTACCAGTCTCAATTTAAATACCAATTCTCTCATCTTCCAGATAGGGAATAGGCCCAGCCCTGTGAGGGGGTTCTATGATTGATTATACAGTGCATTTTCTGAAAACCCTCTTGCCTCCCCTCTGTCTTAAGAGGTGGGACCCCAGAGCACTCACAAACTGAAGAAAAGCTTCTCATTAATGCCGGAAATGACAGATGCAACAGACAGACAAAGGATGGCAGCTCCAAAGAAGACGTGGATCGGTTTCAGGAGGCTGCGCAGCCACAGGGATGCCCAGGGCAGGAGGAAGATGGCAAAGCCCAGGGACCACTGCAGACACAAGAAGGAAGTCCCTGGCTACACCATGTGTGACGAGATGCACCAGCTCACCCACTCCACGAGCACTTCCTGCCCATCACTGTTGCTTGGCCCTTCTTTCCCACCAGCATTGCCCCACCACCATCCTTTGCCGCTCATGTGGGCTGTCTGTTTCTATTACACAAGCAGCAAAAACGGTACAGGAAACCCTCAGCTCCAGTCCTGCTCTCCCAGCAAACCCAGTCATCCTCGACTGTCTGCTGCTTGCCAGTCCTTGCTCATAAACTCCTCTCTAGTGCAGGACTGATTGGAATACAGAAACCACTTCTACAGTTGCTTCTGGTTCAAAGAGACACAGGAGTGGGCAAAGCAGAAAGGAGGTGGCTGATCAGAGTCAGCATGGTACATGCTATGACAAAATTGGCCCAGAGGGCTCTGGGATAGCACACAGGCTGCATGATGGCTATAAGGAACAGGGCAAGCGCAGGAGGCACCAACTCGCCCAGCCATGTAGTCTGCCAAGTCTTCAGGGGGTGCCCAGCAGGACCCTCTCCAGGCAGTGAGCAGAGGGACTATCTGGAGTTGCTGCTAATAACCCCCAAAGAACCCAAAGGAAGCGGATGGTGATGACCCACCTGGCAGGCGAAGAGGATGACGGTGGTGATACCCAGCCAGCTGTGCAGGGAGTAGAGGTGGGCGATATTTGAGTGGTTGTGAAATTGAAAGACAGCAACCAGCCCCACAACAGTGAGGATAAAGGCGATCAGGTGCAGGGCCGCATGGAGGAGTTTCCAGGGCAGCTTGGGTCCCACCCATGACTGAGGCAGGCGGTACACCAACGATGCTGCAGGAGAGAGAGCAGTCCTGGGGCTCAGCCTCAGTCCCCTGTGCTCAGCCACACTTCAGGGGAATCACCCTGATGTGATCCCACCCAGCCTCCCAACGAGGGGAGGAGGAAATGCTAGGATACTGGCATCGACTCTTCAGCATCTATCAACTTCCCATCATTTGTGGGGCAGCCATGAAGGGAGGAGAGAAGAGCCAGTTAAAGAGTAAGGGGCCACAAGTACAGTGGCACACAGCAGTCAGCCCAGAGATTCAGGAGCATCACAAGTTTGAGGCCAGCCAGGACAACTTAGCAAGACTCTGTCTTGAAAATACAAAGGGCTGGGGGTGAACTCAGTGGAAGAGCACCTACTTGGCATGCATGAGGCCCTGAGTTCCATCCCCAGCACTGGGAAAAAAATCCAGGCTCTGCCTCTTGGCTGTTGGGCCTCTCCTTTCTGTTTCTTTACTTATCAAAAGGAGACAACAGACCCCACCCCACAAACTAGTAAAAACAAAACAGATGATACATGAAGTGCACATGGGCAGGGGGATGAGTCTCACTTCCCATTTTATAAGGCAAAGATTTCAATGAGGCAAAGACGCATCCTGGAAGAGTAAGCAAGTGCCTAGGCTGGGGGCCTGCCTATGCCGGGGGAGCATCAGCCTTAGAGCAGGAGTCAGCCACCATAGCTCACAGGCCAACTCCCACCTGCTGCCTATTTTTATAAAGTTTTACTGGATTCACAGCCATGCTGCTTGTTTGCTTATGTATTTTCTTTCTTTCTTTCTTTTGCAGTACTAGGGATTGAATGCAAGACCTCACACAAGTTCTGCAAGTGCTCCAACACTCAGTTATATCCCCACTCCTTTTTTAAAATTTCAAGACTGGCTCTGACAAAGTTGCTAGGCTGGCCTTGAACTTATGATCCTCCTCCTCAGCTTCTAGTGTAGCTGGAAGCTTCTGACTTGTTTCTATTTTTTCTGTGGCTACTCATACAATACAATGGCAGAGCTAAGTAGTTGTGATATAGATGAATGGCTGGCAAAGCCTGAAATATTTACTTTCTGGCCCTTCACAGAAGTTTGCTGACACTTGTCCCAGTGTATCTGTAAAGCTGCTCTTCTGAGATGCCCTACTCTTACCATTTCCTCCCCTAAATGGACCCAGTGGCACTCCAACCCACTCTACCCCAGCAGCCCCAAACCCAACACTGACAAAAGGCCAGCCTTGGGAGAGGGGAACTGCTGACCTGTCCAGCCTGGGCTCCATCATACCTCCCATACCAACCTCTTACTCACCAGCTCCATAGAGTACCACCATGCCAGACACCATGAGCACTGGGTGCCAGTTGAACATGTGTACGCTGCCATCCCAGGCAAAGCCACCACGCCAGTACTGCATCCAATAGACAGTGAAGAGGATGCACATTGAGCCCAGGGATCCCAGAACAAGGCAGGACAGGTAAAACTGTCCTGAAGCCATTCTGATTAAGAACTCCTAGAAGCAGAAATCACATGTCACTGCTGGCTGAGGTGTATCTTACACACCAACTAGCAGAAATAACACTGACCTCTCTCTTGGCCCATGGTATGGAAACTTTTTGCTTCAGTTCCCCTATCATCAGCCTGGGTACCACCCCCATAAGGGCTCAAAGGCAAAGTGGACTCCATGTCTAGTTACAGTGAATGAGTGAGGCCCCACCCCAGCACTGGCAGTGTACAGAGCAGCAAGCTTGAGCTGGATGACAAGGCCTGGTCCAGAACCCTAGGATTAGTCTCCCCTCACCTGGACCAATCCAGGCAAGAAGAAACAGGAATCAAAATCCAGGCCAGGCTGCAAATGCCCAAGCCCTGACTTCTAACAGCATGACCTGAAAGGGGTATACACACTACAGGCTGGAAGCAGAAGCGTTTTCAGATTTCAGAGATTTTGAATTTTGAAGTATTTGCATATTTGAACATTTTGAGCATCCTGTTTGTGATAAAAAAAATTAGATTTCAAGACAGATATGCTTGAATCAGAAGGCTGATGTAAGAAGATCTCAAGTTTGACACTAGCCTAGGCAAATTAATAAGACCATGTCTCAAAAATAAAATAAAAAGGCTAGGATGTAGCTCAGTGGTGGAGTACCCCTGAGATCAATTCTCAGTACCGCAAAAAGAAAACGAAAGGGAAGTTCTTCCTCCCCAGATGGCGAACTCCTTGGGGCTAATGCCCACAGGGGAGGTAAGATCAAGCCTTCACCTGAATCCTCACACTTCATTCCTTGAATTGAGTGATACCCCTCAGCTGTTTTTAGGCCTGAGACTTCTGCTTTCTCATCCACTGGGGAAAGTCCAGAGGAAAAAAGAGGAACCAAGAACTCATGGTCTAGAAAGCAAGAGGTTTATTTTGAGATTTCCGTGTGTACTTGATAAACTCAGAAACCAACTTTGGATTCAGGACTGGTTAATATTAACACCTCTGAGAAGTTGGCTCCTGAAAGTCGAGCAGAAGACATGGTGAACAGCTCAGTGGTAGAGCCCTTGCCTAGAGTGTGTGAGGCCCTGGGTTCCACCCCCAGTGCTAAAACAAACAAACAAACAAAAAAGCAGGCAAAGACACAGGACCAGCCCTGCCCTGCTTCTAGCAAACGTGGCCAGCATGGGCCCAGACTTCCAGGCTGTCGTCCTGTCCCATGGACTCGCACCAAGAAGACAAGACTGTAGTTCCCTCAGTTGAGGTCCATCCCTCTAAACCATCTAACAGAGAGAAGAAACAGCCAATAGCTCCCAAGGAGGGACAACCCCTGGTTCATCACCTTTAGACCCAGCAGTAGGCTGACGACAGAGGGATGGACGGCCTCTGATTCTTACAAACTGCGCACCTTAAGCAAAACACTTAACATTTGCAGGACTTGTTTTCATCTGAAAGAAAAGCACAGCAATAAGAAAACTATTTATTGAGCTTTACTGAGAGCACCAGATCTACACACGTCCCTTTTACTCCTCCTGACAACCCCTTGAGGAGAGTCACCCCTCTCACACACATGAGGAAACAAGGCTCAGAAAGAAGTAGTAATGAGCACAGGACCCAGTGAGTGGGCAGAGTTTCAAAGCCCTATTTGTCTCCAAGGCCAACAGCTCCATAATCTCCCCTTGACCATAGGTTGTCAGACCAAGTGAAGAAACATAGTGAAGACATCATGAGGGCTGGGGTTGTGGCTCAGTGGTAGAGTGCTCGCCTTGCATGTGTGAAACCCTGGGTTCAATCCTCAGCACATTTAAAAATAAATAAATTAAGGTATCGTGTTCATCTACAATTAAAAAAATATTTAAAAAAATATATCATGAGAGCCAAGCATTATAACTCTTCTTAGTTATTGCTGTCATAGGAGTTTTATCCTAACAAAAATATGGATGGTAGCTGGGTGCAGTGGCACATGCCTGGGGAGGTTGAGGCAGAAGGATCATTTGAGCAAAGAAGTTCCAGGACAGCCTGGGTCACACAGTGAGACCTCATCTCAAAAAACAAAAACCTAGGGCTGGATTTGTACAGCACTTGCCTCACATGTGTAAGGCCCTGGGTTCAATCCTCAGCATCACACAAAAATAAATAAAACAAAATAAATATATTGTGTCCATCTACAACTAAAATATATGTATATTTGTATATATTTCTTTTAATATTTATTTATTTATTTATTTTAGTTTTCGGCGGACACAACATCTTTGTTTGTATGTGGTACTGAGGATCGAACCCGGGCCACATGCATGCCAGGCGAGTGCGCTACCGCTTGAGCCACATCCCCAGCCCCTGTATATTTGTATATTAAAAAAAAAAAAAAAAAAAAAAACTAGAGCTGGGTGCAGTGGTGCATGCCTATAAACCCAGTGGCTTGGGAGGCTGAGGCAGGAAGATCAACAAGTTCAAAGCCAGCCCCAGCAACTTAGTGAGGCCGTAAGCAACTTACTGAGACCCATCTCTAAATAAAATATATAAGGGAAAAAAAAGGAAGGGGGAACTGGGGATGTGGCTCAGTGGTTAGCATTCCTGAGTTCAGTTCCTGGTACCAAAAAATACCAAAACAAGATCTAAAGCTCATGGTCCTGGCATTTGTCCAGGCCTCTCCAGAGCCCTGATTACATGCCGCGTAGGGCATCCATCTAAGCAGGAATAGACACCAGACTCTTACAAAATGATCCAAGTTAGCAATGATCTTTGAGAGACTAAGGTCTAAGAGGCAGGGAAGAAAAACAAGCTTCCTTGAGGAAGGCTGGCAGGAGAAAAATCATGCCACCCAGTTTCATGACTCAACTACTAAGCTCAAAGATTTGCTACCCAGTCTCAGAGCTGCCTCCCCAATTCCTGAAAAGGCAGAGGAAGCTTTAGGTCACCACATGTTTAGCTAACACACCTTCCACTCCATTGGTGAAATGTTAAGTCAGCATGAAGGAGCTCTCGGTCAGCAGGCTCCATCTATCTGACAGTATGTCTTTCTACATTTTTTTCCTTTGTAAAGAAATATAATCCAAAAGGGACTGTATCCCTATCCCTAGAAGTCCTAGATTACTTACTGCTCTCTGACACAGGTGATGACACTTTCCTGATAGAAGGCAGGAAACTTAAAACTGCTTTGCTCATAATACACAGGAGAGCCCTCCTTCCTGAAAGTGCAAAAGCAGAAGAAATGAAGAATGCAGTGAAAATTACATGCAAATACTGAGAACATGCAATCATTTGTTCTAATACAGCAGGCTGGGCTAGGACTCCAGAATGTGCCTACCATTCCTGTTCTGCCCTCACTGCACAGAGCCCCTTCCTAAGGTAGGAGTTAGTAAACTCTTATGCAAGAACAAGGTAATATATATTTTAGGCTTTGCAGGACATATGTTCTTTGTCACAACCATGTCATGAACTTTGCTGATGTAGTGCAGAGCAGCCACAGACAATAACTTAGCAAATAAGCATTACTGGGTTCCAATAACACTTTATTTATGGGACTAAAATCTGAGTTTCATGATTTTCATGTATCACAAAGTCTACCCTTTAAATTTTTTTCAGTCATTTAAACATGTAAAAACCATTCAGGAAGGCCATATTTGGCCTGTGGGTTATAGTTTATTGACTCTGATCAAAGGAGTCTATTTATTAACCCAATACTTTCCTTAATTCCTTGGCAGAAAGCATTCCCCTAGACTGAGCTAAACCAAGATCAGGCCTAGAAGTTAGAAATGAGTATCTACTCCAGGCACAGTGACACATGTGCCTTAATGCCAGAGACTGGAGAGCTTGAGGGAGGAGGACTGCAGTTGGGGGCTGGCCTGGGCAATTTAGCAAAACCCTAAGCAACATAGTGAAATCCTGTCTCAAAATAAAAAGATCTGTAATGTAGCTCAGTGGTAAAGCTCCCTTGAGTTGAATCCTCAGTACCAAAGAAGAAAGAAGTATTGCCCATTCACCATTCAGGACAAAGCTCTATTTCAAACTCCTGTAAATGTTACTTTTATAATTTACAACCACAGATGAAGGGACAGAGAGTCAGTTTGTTGCTTTTCCTTCATAGATGGATAGGGGGGCTTTTAAGAATCCTAAAACTCAAGCCTAGTATGGTGACATATGCCTGTAATCCCAACACTCCAGAAGCTGAGGCAGGAGGATCCCAAGTTTGAGGTCAGTCTCCACAATTTAGTAAGGCCCTGTCTCAAAATTAAATTATAAAAGTGCTGGGGATGTAGCTCGCCCCTTGTTCCATCACCAGTACTGGGGGAAAAAAAATTCTGAAACCCAAACCTTGGGTTCAAGCCCTAACCTTTTATCTTAACAGATCAAAAACACTGTTAACACTGGTGCCCAAAGAAGGAAAGTGACTTGGCCAAGGCGACCGGCTGAGCTGGTACAGGCACTCTGGTTTACTCCTCCTCAGCTCCTAGGACTCCTTACTTCCAAAGGTAGCTTCGTAAGTCGGGATTCAGGAGTGTGTAGCCCAATATTCCAGCCTGGAGGTAGGTAAACAAAGTCCTCCTTAGCACCACGGATCACAGACAGTCCTTCAGACTGCCTCAGGTCTAACCATTCTAGGCACCCAGGGGCCCTATTCTGACTCCTCTGCTAGGCGCTCGGTCCCAGCAAATCTTGGGTGAAAAACAGGTGTGCGGGCTCCGCCAGCTTTTTGAGGCTTCCGAAAGCGTTCGTGCCTTTTATTACCACCAGCTGTGGAAGGAAGGGTACGGAGAAGAGAGTCCATTTCCTAAAAGGGAAAACTGAGGCCAAGCGAGGGGTCGCGACAGCGCGAGAGGAGGTAGTGGTAGCAGCGGAGTCGGCAGTGGAACCCAGGTCCCTTAACTCCCACCCCGGGCTCTTTCTCACCCCTAACCACAGTGGGACGCCACGGGGCCGGGGACTCCGAAACCCGCCTCTCTCAGCCCGACACCAGAACCGCCACTCCCCAGTGTCCTGGAAGGTAGAGGTCCGACTCTCCGGCAAGTCCGGTTCAGCTGGCGCCCGGCGCCGCCTCCCGCTCTTATAGGCTCGCAGCACTTCCGGTGGCGCGCGAGGCCGCCTGGGAAATGCAGTCCCAGGCGCGGGATCACCCCCTCCCTACGCGGCCAGGTGCCGGCTCCCCGACCCGGTTCCTCCACCGGCGTTTCTTCCCCACTCCCGGGTCGGGCCTAGGAGCGTCACAACGCGTCTGCCCTGTCCTTCCACCCCATCTCGAGGAGACGGAAATGTTCAGGTTGATACACTGCTTGCCGCCAAGATCAGACCCTAAGCAAGGTCTCCGGAGACGTGGGCGGGAGCCCTGGTCAGCGAAAGGCGACGCTGGGACGGCCAGGACCAGGAGGGCCCGGGAAATCGAAGGCCCGAACATGGAGGCTGGGTTGCCGTAGAGAGGGGAGAGGAAGCCGAGGTCAGTTTGCTGAAAGAGCCCGCGTCCGCCATCGACTTCCGGAATTTGAAGCCGGCTTCCGGAAGCCGGAATGGTGTCCCCATGACAACCGACGTTGGTTCTTTGAGGTGAGAGTGACTGATGAGCAGTGGGGAGAGTGCCCAGAAATCTGGATTTTTATTGCCGTTCCTTTTGGTTTGGGCTTTTTGCCACGCCAAGCCCTTTTTTAAGTGATTAGGAAGGACGCGGGAAGCTGCCCCAAGAAAAGGCGAAGGCCGGAGGTAGCGGTGGACGAAGGGCGAAGAGCGCCGCTGTGCCTCGCGAGTCCCCACCGCCCTACGCTGGAAGAGATGAGCGTCCAAGTCGGGAGAGCGACGTGTGTCTACCTGACAGACCTCGCCAGAGGCCTGTGAAGTGGTGTGTGCGTCACCCGAGTTAGGAATCCTGGCTCTGCGACCAGGAAGAGTGACAACTCGGACCTGGTGTAGCATGGGGAGAATGCTTTCCTACTTTGCAGAGTTGTTGCAAGGATTAAAAGAAATTATCTTGGTTAACAAGTTGATTCTGGTGCTGGTACCTGGGAGATAGCTATCAATATTATTTAATTTAATAAGTGGGGAAACTCAAGCTCAGAGAAGCCACATTCATCCATCCAGTAAGGTGGGACAAAACCCAGTGAGCTAGTTGAGGGCTTTAACCTTTTAGAATCTCCATGCAAATAGATATTATGTCTGTGAAAATGCTTATTTGTAGGATAGTCCTAGAATTAAGTGGTTATAAAACAAGAATTTGTGAATTTTTTTATAGTAGAATTTGTTTTGATATGATTGTACAAGCATGGAATAAATCTTATTCTAGTTAGGCTAAATTTAGAGTGTAGACTTTAAACATTTTACAGATGCTAATTTAGTCACTCTAACACTTTAAAGCACATTGAAAATTTGATTTGATCTAAGCTGCAGGATCACAGAGCAGCTTGTGGGTCTTGAGATGTATGAAAATAAAGGCCCAGCTCCCCTTACTTGATGCCTCTGTGTTTCTTCCTCAACCGTAACATAAAGTTTTTTTGGAGAGCACTGTTTCCTCCCGGCTCTTTCTGCCCTTGCCACTTCCATGTGGACATATTTTTCCTACCTCCTTACATATCAGTCTCTCAGACATATAGACCTACATATACACATATCTGTCTATGTAAGAGGCAGCTTAGTGCAGGAGTTAAGAACACTCTGGGGATGTAGCTCAGTGGTAGAGTGCTTGCCTAACATGTGAGAGGCCCTGGGTTTGATTCTCAGAACAGAAGAAGGGAAAAAAAAGCAGACTCAACCCTGGACCACCTGGATGAGAACTCCAATTCTGCCACTTACTAGCTTTATGACCTTGGACAAATTATTTTGTCTTTCAGTTTTCTCACCTGCAAAATGGGGAAAGGAATAAACATGTTTTCTATTTCATGAGGTTATTATGAGATTTGAATGTTAGTGCTTACAACAGTCCCTGGCTCACTGCAAGTGATGTATATGACTGCTGTTAACATTACTATTGCTACATGATCAGGCAGACTCTTCTCTGAAGTACCCCTCGGTTTTTTGGTTAGAGAAGTTCTGCATTTAGAAGGATCCTGGCATGGAGAAAGTTTGACTGTGAGGGTCCCCAGAAGGAATGACAAAGTGGGTTTTTTGGTTGTTGATTTTGTTAACTAATGTATCCCAATCATCTGGAATCATGCCTGACACACAGTAGTAGGTGCTCAGTAAATGTTTATTATATTAATGGATTTCTAACCTTGCCTCTCTTTTTGCCCCAACAGGTCCTTGTCTGAGAATAAGGGCAACAGCTCTTGATTTGGAAGACTTAGACACTTCTCCTCAGTGTTGGGGAGAGAACCAAGAACTCTTTTTAAGGGAATTGTGGAATGTGCCCTTGGAGGCCCAAGAAAGCAGAAGAAAGATGCTTCAGACCAGTAACTACAGCCTGGTGCTGTCCCTGCAGTTCCTGCTGCTGTCCTATGACCTCTTTGTCAATTCCTTCTCAGAGCTACTCCGAATAGCTCCTGTCATCCAGTTGGTGCTCTTCATGTGAGTGCAGAGGGTAGATCTGGAAAGCTGAACTTAGGCAGTTTGAAGGCCCTGCTTAATTAAGTTCATGACTTAGCATTTTTAAAGTTATTAGTAGGTGGGCTTGGATTGTAGCTCAGTGGTAGCATGTGTACTTACATGTATACTTGCATTCATGAGGCCCTAGATTCAGTCCCTGCCACATGAAATAGTTATTATCAGAGAAATACCAGGGAGAATGAAATTTAACAATGTCCTGAGTTCTCATGGTATACAAATGTAGTCACAGGTCCTCTTTTTATATACCTTTTTTTTCTGTTTTTATGTATGTCTAACAAGAGTTGGAGAACAGTTTAGATAGGAAATGAAGGTCTACTAACCCTGTCATTTTGTTCATCTGGGGATAGAATACTGTCTTTGCCTTAAAAGAGAATTACAATATAGCAGGTTGAAAGAACAATCATGAGGCTGAGGCTATAGCTCAGTGGTAAAGTGCTTGCCTCGCATGTATGAGGCACTGGGTTCAATCCTCATCACCACATAAAAATAAATAGATACTGTGTGTTCTTCTACAACTAAATATTTTTTTTTAAAAAAAAGAACAATCACATTAATAATATATGACTCCTATAGGATAGAAAGTATTGGCATTTATTCTCCACAATAATTTACAGATTTCGTGAGGCAGTTCATAAGCTGCAAACCACACTCCTGGAAGGAACTTCCTTTGTTCAGTGAGCATTCATTGGCCTGGCAGCCAGTGTTGTAATTGCAGTGGTAACCTGACCAGTTCCCCCTCAGGGTTTCTGTTCTCCTGGAGAGACAATGGCGGAGTATAGCAAAATAAGATTTTAATATAGTGACATCAGACGTGGATGTAAACTAGCTGCAGTGAGAGGGGGGGATTTACTTTAGTTAATGGGGTTGCAGGAAAGTTTTTCTAAAGAGGGGGAACGTTTGAACTGGGACTTGGATGGCATGAAGGCACTGGCCACCCAAAGATGGGGAAAGTCCATTGTTGTCTTTCCAGATGAAATCATCTGTCAGGACCAGGTATGTGACACACAGATTTGGTGTGTGTGGGAGAAAACTAGGTTCTCAGAAATGCCTCATTGGTTTATTAAATTAGGACTGTCAGAGGAGCACATCGTGTCTGTGGGCTATAATTCTGGGTAATTGCAGCTTCGTGTCATTTGGGTCCTAAAGCTGATGCTTTCGGTGAGGGTTCTGGGTGACTATATCTCAAGGCAGGACAGATCTCAAGTTGTCCCCAGCTCTTGGGTCCCCACACATCTGGCCGTCTTATGTTTTATATGTCTGCAGCATCCAGGATATTGCAATCCTCTTCAACATCATCATCATTTTCCTCATGTTCTTCAACACCTTCGTCTTCCAGGCTGGCTTGGTCAACCTCCTATTCCATAAGTTCAAAGGGACCATCATCCTGACAGCTGTGTACTTTGCGCTCAGCATCTCCCTTCATGTCTGGGTCATGGTAAGAGTGGAGTTCTAAATTCTCAGATCTTTAAAGAGCTAGTAAGATCTTTTCCCTGGGAATCCAGCATCACTCATGTGCTTCCCTCCGCCTCCTTGGTGGGAGATAGGTGAAATGAAAGTGATGTGATAGAGCACTGGGCACATGAGAGTTTCAAAAGGCACTTGGGTCTAGCTCTCTGTGTTGAACAACAGCCTTATCCAAGAGTCTAAGGACTCTCCTGGACTATTCAGTGTACCTTTGCACCAAAGAGGCCTGTCAGAGCTGAAACAGGAAGTTGAATCTGTTTTAGCTACCTGGGTAGATGGGTTGATACAGGGTACTACATAAATTCTTCCATTTCTGGATATCTTGTGCATCTTTCATGAGTTTTTTTTTTTTTTTTTTTTTTTTTTTTTTGATGGGCTGGGCTGGGGACATGGCTCAATGGTGGGGTGCTTTCCTGTGCCTAGCATGCATGAAGCCCTGGGCCACAATCAGTCGATCAAACAAAATACTCAGGGTCTCTAGTCCCTTCATTACTAGAGTTTTTTTGTTTTGATGAGCTGCCTGGGGACAGAGTTTGTGATCTCATGGAGATAAATAAGCTTATAGGGAAGGAACAGAACAATGTTGAAGTCTGAAAATGGTACCAGCAGGTGACTTTTTTTAAACTGGGAATTGAACCCAGGAGTGCTTTACTGCTGAGCTACATCCCCAGTCCTTTTTATTTTTTATTTTGAGACAGGGTCTTGTTATGTTGCTGAGGATCTTGCTAAATTGTTGAGGCTGGCTTCGAACTTGTGCCTCCTGCCTCAGCCTCCTGAGTTGCTGGGATTATAAGCATGTGACATTGTGTCTGCCTCCTGTAAGGGATTTTGTACTCCAGGTGCTGGAACATAAATAGGTCCTGGCTTTGTCTGCTAAAGCTGTTGATCTGATTACACTGAGTGTTCCAAAGCTTTTATCTGACAGGAGCTGAGCTTGACATTTTCAAGGCAAGACAGCAGCAGAACTCCTGATACAGTCCATATCATTTCTGCTTGGCAAAGGCAGTGGAATGAAAGGGGATAAATACCTCAGTTCAGACTTCCTCCCTCAGGGTTAAAGGTATCCTCTTTGCATCAAAAAAAGGGAGCTCCCGTGAGCCTGCCTGTATTCCCATCGGCTCAGGATGCTAAAACAGGAGGATTGCAAGTTCAAAACCAGCCTCAGCAAAAAGTGAGGTGCTAAGCAACTCAGGGAGACCCTGTCTCTAAATAAAATACAAAATAGGGCTGGGGATGTGACTCAGTGGTTGAGTGCCCCTGAGTTCAATCCCTGGTACCAAAAAAAAGGGGAGGGAGCTTGAGGGGCTAGAGTTATGGCTCAGTGGGAAAGCACTTGCCTCGCATGTGTGAGGCACTGGGTTCCATTCTCAGCATCGCATATAAATAAATGAATAAAATAAAGGTCCACAAACATCTAAAAAAATATTAAAAGAAAAAGAAAGGAGGAGCTTGAGGCTCCTTTCAGAAACACTCTTTCAGCCAGGATTTAGTGGCGCATACCTGTAATCCAGGCAATTGGGAGGCTGAAACAGGAGGATTGTGAGTTCAAGACCAGCCTCAGCAATTTAGCCAGGCCTTAAGCAATTTAGCAAGACCCTGTCTCAAAATAAAAAGGTCTTGGGATGCAGCTCCACTAACAAAGGATTCAATCCTCAGTAAAAAAAAGAAACACTCCTTGGCCTTACAGAAAGCAGGAAGGAGGGGGGAATAGCATGAATTTCTACCAAGTGGCATCTCTGCCTCTAAACAAGTTGGAGATGTTAGAGCCACATGCAGCTATTAACCCTTTCCTTTCTATTCATATCTTCTTCAGAACTTACGCTGGAAAAATTCCAACAGCTTTGTTTGGACAGATGGACTTCAAACGCTGTTTGTATTCCAGAGACTGGGTAAGGACCACAGCAGCCTCAGGCTTATTTATTGTGCTGGCCTTGATCCTGGCCTTGTAGCCCCTCACAGCTGGCCTGGGATGGTTGGGACAGTCATGTCAAGAACAGAAGACTCCTTGCAGGGAGACAGTGGGAAGCCCTGAGGCAGGCCCTCAGCTTGGAGGCTGGGTTCCCGCCCTTAAAGGAGTTCTCAGGGTCACCCCAGAGGCTTCTTCTCTGCTCTGTCCCCAGCGGCAGTGCTGTACTGCTACTTCTACAAACGGACGGCCGTGAGACTGGGCGACCCACGCTTCTACCAGGACTCTCTGTGGCTGCGCAAGGAGTTCATGCAAGTCCGAAGGTGACTGCTTCTTGTCACACTGATGGCTGCCTTTCCTTCCTGATAGAAGCTTTTCAGGAAGGATCAGCCTCTGCACCAGGAAATAGCTGGACTTCCCTAGCACATGCTTGGGCCAGTTGTGTTCTCACAAGTTCCACGAGTTCCCCAACAGACTCCTGTGCGTAATGCCTCCTGTCCCCTACCTCAGTTCCGCCCTTTCCTTCCTTTCCTGCCATGTTCCACTCCTTGCACCCCTCCCCTCTGCCGAGGCTGTGGCTCACCCTTTGAACCTACTAGTCTCCACCTTCCTGACACCACGCTCTGGTGACTGAAGGATGCAGCGTGGTAGTTGGGTGTTCTTGACTGATCCCCTCTTAGACATTTAGATTTTTATACCTAAGATACTTTTTTACATTTTGTAAATAGAAAATAAATTAAATTCTTTTTTCATAAATGGTGGAATCTGTCTAGCTAGATCACTCCATGGTTAAGAGGTATACCAAGTCCTACCCTCAGCACCTATTTGACCCAGTGGGCAGATTGAGCCAGAGAACAAATATGGACATTCATTGAGTTCATTATGAGATAAAGTATTTCTGCAGAAGTTCAGGATGTAATTATCTGCTGCCTCACCCCCTGGATTCCAGACATCTATGCTTCATTCAGACACTCTCCCTATCAGAGGCTGAGATTGTCCTCAAAAGAATAAAATAAATGCTCCTTAGCTTTTTTGGCAGAAGACATTTTAAAAATTCATATGCTAAGCTGGGTGTGGTAGTGCATGCCTATAATCCCAGTGACTCACGAGGCTGAGGCAGGAGAATTGCAAGTTCAAAGTCAGCCTCATAAATTTAGCAAGGTCCTAAGCAACTTGGCGAGACCCTAATAAAACATTAAAAATGAGTGTAGGGGAGGTGGGGTTGTGGCTCAGCAGTAGAGCGCTCGCTTGCACATGCGAGACTGTGGGTTTGATCCTCAGCACCACAAAAAAATAAATAAGTGAAATAAAGGTATTGTGTTCAACTACAACTAAGAAAAAAAAAAGGAAGGCTGGAGTTGTAGCTCAGGGTAGAGCACTTGCCCAGCAAGTGTGAGGCAAATAAAGGTATTATGCCCATCTACAACTAAAAATATTTATTAAAAAAAAAAAAAGGTACTGAAGATGTGGCTCAGTGGTTAAGCACCCCCTGGGTTCAATCCCTGGTACAAAAAAAAAAAAAAAAATTTCACATGCTAATCCCAGCAATTCCAGAAGCTAAAATAGGAGGATCACAAATTCAAAGCCAGCCTCAGCAATTTAGCAAGACCTTTAGCAACTTAGCAAGACCTTGTCTCAAAAATAAAAACACCAGTGGCTCAGGAGGCTGAGATAGGAGGATCACAAGTTCAAAGCCAGCCTCAGCAAAAGCAAGGCACTAAGCAACTCAGCGAGACTCTGTCTCTAAATAAAATACAGAATAGGGCTGGAGGCATGGCTCAGGGGTCCAGTGCCAATCCCTGGTACTTAAAAAAATTTTAAAAATAATAAAAAGAGCTGCAGATATGACTCAGAGGTAAAGCACCCCTGGGTTCAATCCCCTGTACTAAAAAAAAAAAAAAAAAAACAGTAAAAATAAAAATTCATGTGCTGTTTTCTGGTAGCAAAATAATGTGTGACAGACCACTGGCAGACTTAAGTGGGATACAACAAAAAAAAAGTTCCCTGGCACCAGAGTCTTGGGGTTCAGCTGATCTGGGCTGGGTCGGGTGGTTTCTGCTGGACCTGCTCACATGTCTGTCTGTGGTCAGCTGTGGGTGGGCTAGGCAGTTGTGATGATCTTGAGGTCCTTAATGTTGGCTAACCCATGATGACCTCAGGTGAAATGACAGGTTACTCAGCTCTGGGTCACATGATTCATCCTACAGTTGACTAGCCTGGGTCTGTTCACACCACAGAGGCAGAGGAGCAGGAGAGAAAAATCTCCAGTGTGCAATACCATTTTGAGCCTCTGCTTAGACTCCCACTGGGCAAAGAGAGTCATGTGACTGAGCCTGTGTGGAAAGTAATACAAGATTCTAGACAGAAGGTATGGCTAAGGCCAGGAGTGGAGCTCAGTGGAAGAGCATGTGTTGGGATGCTCAGGGGCCTGGATTCAATCCCCTGCACCAAAGGGGGAAAAAAAGGCATAGATACAAGAAAGAGTGATCAAAAACAGGCGCTATTAATGCAGTGAGTCTATCACACCAAACAGCAGTGGCTCTGTGAGACTCTCATTCAGAGCCCTTTAGCACAGGGGTCAGCAGACTTTTTGTGAAGGACCAGACAGCAAATATTTCCGATTTTTATGGTGAACCTCCTTGACCCTGACAAAGGAGCATGAAAGCAGCCATAGATGATACAGTACATAAAAAGAATAACCATGATGGCTATGTTCCAATAAAATTATTTATGGGCACTGAAACTTGAATTTCATAATATTCTTTTGTTCATTCTTTCAACCATGTAGAAATGTCAAAACTATTTTTAGCTGTAAAGGGCTAAACAAAAACAAGTTGAATTTGGCCTCAGGCCATAGTTTGCTGACTTCTTTAGAAGACTGGAATAAATCCTGTGGGAAGAGTATTGAAAAAATATAGGGACTACGGACACATCTGTGATCCCAGCCACTCAGGAGGCTGAGGATCACAAGTCTGAGGCCAGCCTCAGCTACTTAGACCCTGTCTCAAAAGAAATAAATCAAAAAGGCTGGGTATATAGCTCAGTGGTAGAGCAGTTCTACATTCAATCCCTAGCACCCCTCATAAGGAAGAGTCTAGGTAGGGATGGGGATATAGCAAGTTGGTAGAGTGTCTACCCCACAGGCACAAGGCCCTGAGTTCAATCCCCAGCACCACACACAAAAACAGTCAATCAGACATGAAGATTTTGACAAGTTAAAAAGGAAAAGGTAAGCCTGGCCCTGTGGTGCACACCTAGCTATACTAGCTAGCGACTCAGGAGGCTGAAGCAGGATGATCCCTTGAACCCATGATTTGATACCAGCCTGGACAACATAGCAAGACCCTATCTCAAAAAAAAAAAAAAAAAAAGAAAAAAAAGAAAAGAAAAGAAAAATGAAAAACAAAACTAATGAAATGCCTAAAGTTCTAACAAAGCCATCATCTGCATTTATTATACCTTTGTGGAAAAGGTTGAACAACAGCCTAATTTTAAATCTCTTCACAAAAATATAGGGATCACAAATAACAGGAACATTAAGAGCCTTTTGCTCATGGCAATCTCTTAAATAAATAGGCAATTTTCGGGGATGGGGTTGTAGCTCAGTGGTAGAGTTCTTGTCTCGCACACGTGAGGCCCTGGGTTCAATCCTTGGCATCACATAAAAATAAAATCAAAATAAAGATATTGTGGGGCTGGGGATGTGGCTCAAGCGGTAGCGTGTTCGCCTGGCATGCGCGGGGCCCTGGGTTCGATCCTCAGCACCACATACAAATAAAGATACTGTGTCCACCGAAAACTAAAAAATAAATATTAAAAAATCTCTCTCTCTCTCTCTCAAAAAAAATCATCCTCAGTAGAACAACAGGCCAGTGCTAGTTCTACCACTGCCTATAAAAAAAAATAAAAATAAAGATATTGTGACCATCTACAACTAAAAAATAATTTTTTTTAAATAGGCAATTTTCTGTGCCCCAAAATAAATCAGGGCTAGATTCTTTCCTATTGTCTTTACAGCTAACAAAGTAGAACCAATTACCTTTTTCCTCATTCATAATATTTATGTCACCTTCTGGCCCTATAAGACTCTCGGATGTGTGTGTGTGTGTGTGCGCGCGTGTGCGTATGTGTGTTTTCCTTAATAGTTAATATAGTCACATGGCACAAAATTCAAGTTATAAAAAAGTTTAAACCAGGCACAGTGATGCCTGCCTTAAATCATAGTTTACTTGGGAGACTGAAGTTGGAGGATCACAAGGTACAGGCCAGCCTCTATCTCAGCAACTAAGCAATTATTCTTTCTTTTCTTTTTTTTAAAGACATTGATGAACCTTTATTTTATCCATTTATTTTTATGCAGTGCTGAGAATTGAACTCAGTGCCTCACACATGCTAGGCAAGAGCTGTACCACTGAGCCACAACCCCAGCCCATGAGATCCTTTTTTTTTTTGGTGGTGCTGGGGATTGAACCCAGGGCCTTGTGCATGCGAGGCAAGTACTCTACCAACTGAGCTATATCCCCAGCCCCATAAGATCTTTTCTTTTTTTTTCTAAATATTTTTTTTAGTTGTAGATGGACACAATATCCTTATTTCATTTATTTTTATGTGGTGCTGAGGATTGAACCCAGTGCCTTATACATGCGAGACAAGCGCTCTACCACTGAGCTACAACCCCATCCCATAAGATCCTTTCTTTTTTTTTTTTAATTTTATTTTTTAGAAGTAGTTGAACACAATACCTTTATTTTATTTATTTATGTGGTACTGAGGATCGAACCCAGGGCCTCGCACATGCTAGACGAGTGCTCTACCGCTGAGCCACAGCCCCAAGATCCTTTCTTAATAAATAATTTTATAGGACTGGGGGTATAGCTTAATAGTAGAGCACTTGCCTCCCATGTGTGAGGCCCTGGTTCCACCACTTCTCCTTAAAAATCTATATTTATTCATAACTTTGTTTTTAAATTGCAGTTCTAGGATGGAGCCCAGGGCTTGCTCATGCAGGCAAGTGCTCTACCCCGAGACCTAAACTTTAGATCCCTAGACCTTACATACCTCTGTTCAACCCCAGGTTTGCAAAGCCCCCAGCATGCTGTTATACTGATTCCAGAGAAAGAACTTGGAGGACTCAACAGAGGGGGTTTGGATATTTTATTACGGACATACTCGTGGGCAGTGGCGGGTCAGGATATAATGGAGAACCGCACCTGCCCACAAGCAGGAGGAAGCACCTGCGGGATAGATGGCACGCCGAGGGCACAGACGGGTTCCTTCACATGTTTTGAGTACATGGCTTGGCTGAACAAACAAGGCTGTCCTGCTTTGATCTCCTCCTAAAGACTGGAGATAGGAAGGTGGCCAGCTTCCCTCCTCCTTGACCCACAACACATTCTTGGGAGTCCTTAGTTCACCTTCAGGAACAACAAGCCTTCTGGTCATTGACTTTTGTAACCTGACAACTTTCAACAGACAATGTAATAATATTGCAGAAACATTTTTACACAGAAAAAAATTGCTATCATCCTATATCAATCACTTACTTCAAATCTTTGACAATATGCACATGCATTTTATGCACATTTGTGATTATGGGGAATAGGTGATAAAAACATTTCACTTTTTTGTTTGCTTACATTGTTGGGACAGCCAGAGACCCCCAAAAAAGCAGTACTCTTTAAGGGAGTAAAATCTTTGAGAAGGGAATGAGACAGGGATTATCATAGACAAAGGGCAAATGCGCTCCTAGGCCTTGACTCATGGC